TGACCAAGTCCTCTCCTTAAAATTACAGTTTTGTTCCTATATTGTGGAGGTTGAATAGGTTTAGATCTTTTATTTGCTTCATGTTGTGCACCACCTTTACAAAAACAATAAAAAAAAGGCATAATTGGGTGTAAAAATGTAGCTTTGTTCATCTGGCTCATCTGGTTTAAAGAAACATAATCTTTGACACCTGGCTGTGATGTAACTGTAAAGAACTTGTTACGTCTCGCCTCACCTTTGGTTTCCAAGAACCTGGGAGAAGCTACAAATCCCCGTACCACTGTGGCACATCTTGCTGTTTAGTGAAACCCTGTGGTGTCTCTGAGACATCCTTGATAAAGTGGCTGGGACAAAATGAGCTAAAGACAAAAAAAAAAGAAAATAATAAAACACTCCCTGAACTGTCTAATAATGAACTACTTACAAGGTCTTAAAAGTGGTTTTGAGGTAATGGAGGATTACGGGACTCATGAGGCTCATTAAACCTCACTTCAAGACTAGATTGGGACAGTGAGCAGTTGTTTTCTGCTCCCTCCTCTCTTAATGTTCACTTTCACTTGATCAGGTCAAGGCAGCATTTTTTTCCTCCTGATTTAAGCACCAAAACGTTTTGTTTAAGCTGAAAAGAAACTAAATGCTCGCCTGCTTGGGGCCCAGATTAAGGAGGATTGCTGCTATCTTAAAACAACAGTTTCAAAAAATGTAATAGTGGTTCAGTCAAACATTATTTTTTTAAATTAAATGTTTGGCATTCCTCGAAGAAATACATCCTCTGCTGCCTTTCATGCAAGCGTGTCAAACTAACGCCATCCTATGTTAATAAATGACATTTGTAGCCATTTTGGTCCATTGTTAAGAATGCTCAAGCGAGCTAGCGAGATCCACAATCTGGTAGAGCTCAGAGTGTGCGTTGGGGATGACTCTCAGCTCCTATCACCTCAAAATTTAGCTCATTATCTGTAAACTTGACTGAATTATTTTACTTATAAATTGGCTGTGGCAATCATCTTGAATTGGGGTTGACTATGAGTTGTGGACATACATCTAATGCCAAGCATTTCAAGCATTTACAGGAGTTTCATTAAAATCCATCCAATGGTTCATTATTTATTTTGCTAACAAAAAACAAGTTTGACTCCAGTCTTAACTAGCATGTTTTAAACATGAATATTTTATGTTTATTTAATGTATCTTTACGAATGGACACACTGTGGGTAAGCTTTTTTTGCTTTCCTCAACATCTGTAAAATTCTTGAATTAGAACCATTTTTGTTTTAACTGTGGCAGTCATCTTGAATCAAGTTAACAGCAAAAGTTAATCAGTTGTAAATGTAGGGTTGACAAACGGATGCATGCAGGCAAAAGATTGCACATCTTAGATGTTGGCCTCAAAAACACAGCAGGGTTTATCAGCTAGCTGGAAGTGCTAAAGCTAGCTGCTGCATAAACTGTAAACTTTTTTTCAAATGAGTAAATAATAAAAAAAATGGAATCCAAAAAAAAGTTTCAATTACATTTTTTTGCACAAACCATCATGAAACTTGTCAGAATTTTATTTTTTCCCCCCAAACTGAGGTTGTTTACAAAGTCATCTACAGCAGGTAAGATATTCATTGTTAAAAACCTTTTCACAAGCCCTATTTCAAAAAAGTTTGCACTGTGGCTTGAAGACTTTTGAGAAAAAGAATATGCAACATGTGCTTTAAACAAACCATCGTGTTTATCATTTATTTAAACACAAGTAGGATTTTTCATAAATAATTTCTTTGTAACATCGCACAACAGAACATGTGTGTTGCTGTAGCAGCAATGCAATAAAAGCTTTGAAATAAAAATGAAATAACATATTTCACATTGCAGGCTCATCCCCACCAGCACACTTACAAAAGCATCAACACAGCATCAAGGGGAGAGGAGTGGACTCACAGTGTCCTACATTGTAGCAGCTCTCATAATCCACACGGGCAGATTTTTTTTTTCCTATTCCCACGTGGACGTCAGCCAGTCCAGGGGATTTCTGCACTGTTGACAACATTTTATTGTCCAGATGAGAGGACGTACACTCATCACGAACATAACAGCCAGCCTTACAAATGATATTGCTCCCAACTTGCATCTTTATTAGAGCAAACAGTGGCGTTCAGGTGAAAAAAGTCACTATTTTTATCCCTATCAAAGATTAAAGCATGTATTCTTTTACGTTCAGGATCAATCATGAAGAATGGTGCATGACCTTGGTTGGTTTATGCTCCACTTCATCTCTAATGCAGTGCCGCGATAATTGAATAAAACATGCTTCAATGGTTGAAACAGCTAAGTTATTCTGACATTGCATTAAATGTTACTCCTCTCTGACTTGCTGCTTCTTTAACTGAATGCAAAGAAGCTTCAGTTTTAACGGCAACATTTTTTTTTAAATGCATCATCTTTGTCTCGTGTCGGTTGTTTGCTACAAAAGCTTAGAGAAAGTTTGAACTGCCCACAAGCCTAAAAGAACATTTAAAAAGCACGTATGGTTCTTACAAAAGGCCATTGAATAGTTCAGCATTTTTAGCATCTTTGCTTTGATCAGGATGGGAAGCTGATGGGCAAACAATTAAAAAGTCATGAGCAAAACAGCAAGAAAAATACATTTTATGGAGGACTTTACAGTAAAACATTTGGAACAGAAATAATCCAGAGAAATACAATCACAAGTTGACAAGCCCTTTCATCATTAAGGGTTCATGTCACTTCATATATTCACTTTTTCAACATTCAGTGCTGTTCAGCTACTTGCAGCATCGTACATTTATTATTTTATTGTTTTTGTGGACACAAGCTTTTATACACAATAAAAATGTTTTCGTTAAACTGCTAAAGTATCATTGGTGCCAAACACACCAGGCACACTCCATACATTAAAAAAATATACATCATACTCGCAGATCAGAACGTTTTTTTTGTTGTGGTTCAGGGAGTTGGAACTAAAGCAATATTTCAGATCTTTTGGAATGTAGTTCTATGAAAAGTGTATGAACCATAAATATCTTACTTGTTGGAGATAACTTTGATCAACCTCAGTTTGGAGAAACAGTTTAACTCATAAACTGCACAACTTTTATTTTGATAAGTCTATCAAAGATCTGCTTGGCCGCCTTATATCATGACGTTTTGAGAAAAGCTGTAAATACTAGTCTCTGGCGTTTATTTCATAGTTACTATTTCATGCCAATTTTTTATTACAGCTGGTGACAAAGATATTCAATAGTTATCAAAGCAAAGCATGGTGGTGATTACCTTTTTTAAATATCTCACTATTGTTGTGAACACTAACTTTAATGCCTCAGAGATGTCTTTTCCTAGCCGTTTTCTCATTTACCGGTACTTGTAGTTTTTTTTTTAATGTCTCTGAACCATTAACTGAATATTTTGGTGGTTTTGGTGCTCCCTTAAAATTGACTGGGGACCATATATATGATGCTCCACAAAGTATTTTCAGCAAAATGTCCGTTTAGATTTTACAAATGCACTTCATCGTTGGACATTCTGCCACGTTTGTCGGTACTTTTTGAACGCTGTTTGATCTGTAAACATCCTACACACAAATGCAAACCACCAAGACAAGAATCAGACTGCCCAACAACTCTTGAATATCTTCACCTCCAGTCGTGGTCAAATATTGTAAAATTGTACAGCCTGAAGAATAAACTAGACAGCTAATATTTACTGCTTTTCTCAAAACATCATTATGCTCAATGACAGCCAAGCTGGATGCATCTTCGATAGCCCTCTAAATTACCGTATTTTTCAGACTAAAAGGTGCACTTAAAATCCTTTAATTTTCTCAAACATCAACAGTGCGTCTTATGTATTTATTCTGGTTGTGCTTACGACCTCAAACTGATTTTATGCGGTGCACGGCACTCAAAAATCCATCACATTTTTTAGTTTCGCTTAATGCGCCTTATAATCCGGTGCACCTTATAGTCTGAAAAATACCGTAGTCTCGTAAGTGCCTAGGGGACATTTGTTAAAATTAATATAAGATTTCCAACAGAATAGCAGTGTAGTGTGAAATTAATAGCAATGTAAAGGTTACTAAAATGACATTAACATGAACTTTAATAAAATGATTGACATTGAAATTATTTCAAAATGGCAGAAACTCTTTGTGGTATTTACTCTTCTACATACTAACTGATACATACAGACTGGTAGTCAGTTCGTCAGTCCTATCAGAAAAAAAAAAAAAAAAGCAATTTGAAGAGGAATCCGTAACAGGTAAGACATTTTTGGTTCATAACTTTTCCACAGAACCCCACTTCAAGAGTTCATCTATCCTTTTAAGACCCAACTCCACCTCCAACATTCATTACGTCCACAGTGTGCTGCTCTCGCCTGACTTGGCCTCTACATTTGGACATTTTCTCAGTTATGACACACTTGGAGAAACACCAGGAGCTGCTCATCTCCTCGCTCATTCAAAAACACGAACAACTGCAGCCTGCAGGAGGAATTACGGTTCGTCCTTGAGGGTCAGAGCGAGCTCTCCGCCCTCAGCTGGCGTGGATTCACCAGTGCCGGGCAGCTGTCCGGTGCTGCATATAACCCGAGCCGAGTCAGCCCGTTCATACAGCTGTTTAGAGCATGGCAGCTGCTCAAGGGGCAATGAGGTATTAGACATTGATTTAAAAGAATGAAAAAATAAATAAAAAATAAAGAATGCTTCCTGTCCTATAATCTCTGGTTTTTTTTTTTTTTTTTTGTACACACAAAACAAGCCGGGACCACAGTATACGCATGGTCTTATGTAATGTTAGCAGCTGCATCGTCTCGTTTTGATGCAGCACGCTCGGTGACAGAAGACTCGCTGCTCAAGTTCATGCGTGATATTTAAACAACCGTCCATGTTTTGATGCCTTGAAACGATCAGCAGGGACGTCTGCTTCATCTTACGCACGGCATGTCCACAAACGGTGAAGGAGCTTACAGCGCGTGGTGCTCGACCATCGTCCTCTTCAGCACATCAAAGCCTGCTTGAGCTCACACTAACAAGGAAAACAGTGCGGCATTGTCAAAGTAGGAAACGCAACCAACAAGAAATATTTTCAAAGAGAAGTCAAATGACAGGTGAGCTACTGAAAAAAAAATAAAATAAAATAAAAAACCCGCACAAGATGACAGCAGGCCTGATCATCGCAGCAAACAGATGCATTCTTCCTCTGATGATTTGAAGTCTCCTGGAATGTCCTCAGCGTTGAAACAAAACAGACGTGCATTTGTAAATCCAGTAAACCAAGTCTTACTGCACTGCCACCCTTGCCTTTGGGATTTGACAAAAGCAACAGTGAGGGTAGCTTCCAGGTCCCCGTACTATACTCATTCCTTTTTATGGCGTCCCCCTAGGAATCGAAAGCACGATCTTCGCAGATTTCCAAAGCGGCTTTACTCGCACCTCCAAACACTTCCACGTTTGCATCAATCCAAGGAACCACGTTTCCGGGCATGTAGGCCGAGCAGTTCGCCAGGGCCACGATGTCCACGGGCCGCAGTACTCTGTCCCACATGTTGAACTGGCTCAACTCACCCACAAAGGCTTGGGTCGCATCAAAACGGCCTCCAACAATGTCCTTTATTGAGAGACAGAACAGAGTAACATTTTATTAGTCTGGGAAATCATTTTTAATCAACTTTTAACTGTCAACTACTGTATGCCAAGCAGATATTTTTAGTGCACTCAGTTTGGTGAATGAACTTGAAATGAGTTAAAATGTCCACTGTTTATATCTGGCCTTGAGCAACATAACTTTTTAGAACCCAACTTTTATCTAAGGCTAAGTCTAATTCATAGTAATTACCAAAAAACGTCCATGCTCAATAATCCAACATTTTTCAGTCAGGTCATCTGGACAGTTTTTTTTTTTTTTCTGAAACATTTCACCTTCCATCCAGAAGGCTTCATCAGTCAAGGAAACACACAACACAAAACTGATTCTTCCCCCAAACAGCTTACTCCAAAGTGGAACAAACCAGTTATGTTAGTGCTAAAATGGTGTCTTTGGCACGCCCCCTCCTCTTGTGCCGGCCCTCTTCCTGGTCGACAGTCATGTCAAACTGGTTCAAAACCTGTCCAGATGACCTGACTAAAAATTGTTGGATTGTATACCTGGATTATTGAGCATGGACTTTTTTTGGTTTTGAACCAGTTGGACATGACTGTCGACGAGGAAGAAGGCCGGCACAAGAGGAGGGGGCGTGGCAAAGACACCATCTTAGCACCAACCCACTTTTCTGCTCTAGCAGAGGTATGACACGCTGCAGGAGGAAGATTCTCCTGCAGCTGTGGGCTGCACACAGGAGCAGCAGGTGCTAAATAATTTAATATAATTCATTTTAAATAAAAAATCCAAGCAGATCGTGCGGCTCATCCATCTATTAGCCAATTGTGTCATGTCCAATCTTATTTTGAAAAACCACGACAGAGCGAGTCCGCGAAAAACGAACCGCAAAGAAGCGAGGGACTACTGTAGTAATATATTCATTTTTCATAACTTCTGTTACAGAAGTTGACTTCAAAAACTCTGCAGTGCGGAGTTATTATATTTATGTTATGTAAACATATTTCTTTTTAAATGAATAAAGATTAACCTCGGTTGTTTTATGAGTGTGTAACACTACTTGAAAATATCTTAATGCCGCGCTGTCTCCAATATCGTGCAATCTGAAGCAATCTCATATGAGTTCATCTCCAAAATAAAAAAGCAGCGTCATCGCCTCCAGCTCTAAACTAATTATTTATGAGTGAAAAGATCTCAGTAGGGGTATTCACGTGCCACCATATTTTTATTTTATTTTTTATACATACGTGGTGCTGTCATGGAGTTAATCTACAGAATAACTTTCCATCACAGCTCCCACATGTTTTATGTGCAGTTTATTGGCTGATGAATAGGGTGAAACAGAAAGGGCCACAGTAGCGTGAGAAGAGCTTAGCCAACTCCTCTCTCTTGCTCCCTGCTCTGCGCCTCGGGCTCTGAAAATACACACATGGATCCTACCGGCACAAAGAAAAACATACACACACTCGTTCTTTACTTCCGAAGCTTTCAGCCTCACCTGTTCCTGGCCCAGGATGATCACCCCTCCAGGTTTAATTGGGTGCCAGGGGGCCAGGTTGTCTCCTGTGCCGAGACGCTCGCCATCTTGGTAAGCCTCCCAGGAGCCGTCTCTGGTCGTCCAGGTGATGCAGATGTGGTGCCAGCGCCCATCACTCACTGCCAGAGGGAGCTGGGCCACCTGGTGTGGAGTTAAGTGCAAAAGTGGTTCGGACCAAAACACAGGAAGGTGGAGAGGGGGCAAGAGAGGAAGCAAAATGAGGCCCGAGAGAAAACTGTGACATGTTCGAAACAAGGACAGTAATGAGAAGGGGTACAGCTTCAAAAAGTCTACCCCCCTCCCAATTTTTTTTAAGCCAGTGCGATATTTAAATTTTAGATTACCCAGGTGGCATCAGGGGATTAAAGCATCCTTCAAAGCCATCAGATGGCTAACAGCAAAACTAAGTCCTCTTACGCCTTCCTGCTTTGTTCACAGATCAAAGAAAAACAAGCAGTTATTCTACCAACCAGTGACATCACCGTCCTCCGAGAATTCAGCAAAACACACGAGACTACGAGTGTGCACTGGAGCTCATTAGCTTTTTTTTTTTTTTATTATGAGCCTAAAGGACTCCTTCACACTCGTACATTAGCGCAGAAGAAGTGTCAGAGGCAAACAGACGGACAAAGGAAGTGAAAATAAAAATTCAAGTCACTCGCAATTACAAAACCAATTGACCTCGTTGGAGAGACCAGGTGGTGTGTTTTCATTAGTGGGACTACTGGGAACTCTCGAGGTGTTGTTATGAACAGTCTGTAGTAAGAGCCTCACCACGATTTTTGGCCAAATATTCTGCAGCAACAGAAATATTGCAGTAATGAGGATTTATATATACGCAGAGCCAAAAATAAAAACAAAAATTTTCCCACAGAGACGACCTACATTTATTCTAACACAAAAAGTAACACAAACATTAGCAGCTATGTTTAAAGGCTGTTTGTGCGTTGAAAGCTCAAAGCCCTATTTTGAATTGTGCTACTTTACTTTTAATTTTTTTTTATTTAAAATATGTGTCAATGAAGTTGAACAGAAAGGATTAAAATGTATACAAAGTAGTGCTGGACAATAATTCAATATCGATATATGTTGCGATATATTTTTATTCAATAACGGTGATGTGAGTTTTTAGCACATTTTAGATATTTCGACGTGATTACAGCGTTTCACTGACGAATTTCTTTTTCTGCTCGTGTTGAAGCGGTGCTTCAGTTTCAACCCGAACAGAAAAAGCTGCGACGCAATTACGTAAGTGCGTGGTGACGTAGATGTTACGCAGAGCTTGAATCAAGAAGGCGTTAGCGGTAGCAGGCTAGGCTAGTCTCCAATGCGCGTTAAGTTTCCACTTCAAAATGAGTGCCCATGACCGTCAGAATGTGACTGAACAAGCTTTCACAAGCGAAGAGAAGCAGATGACATAACTGATAAGAGAGGAAAGACTAATGCGCCGGTGTGGAAGTGGATCGGCTATCTAAGATCCGATAAACTGCAGGTTTCAGTCAGTGTGCTGCAAAATGTGACGGAGAGTCGTTCCAGCTAGCGGTGGGAACACATCGAACTTGTTCGACTTGATAGAATATGCTGAGAGTCAGAAGATGAAGCTCAATAAAAGTTTGAGCCAACGTGTCCCTGAAACAACACCCCCAGCTGTATCAAAAGAGAAACCCATGATGCAGAAGTTTGCTGCTTGGGTTGTTAGGTTATGTTGTTGTTTAAAGTTCAAACTATTAATACTGACAAAGTTGAGAGTTTTATATTTATTTGATGGTGATTTCAATTTTTTTGAAGGCTAAATACAAAAAAAAAAGGTGAACAGTAATTTATTTGTACAGTTTGTACAGTTTTTCGGAGGCTTTTATATTGTTTATATCAATATCGAATTATATCGTTAGACAGAAATTAAGAAATATATCGTGATCAAAAATTTTGGCCATATCGTCCAGCCCTAATACAAAGGGCAAAAAAGTGAGAAGAAGCTGCCAATTTCTCTGCAGTACTTGGTTACAATGGCAACAAAATGGCAACAAAATGCAGAACGTTTGAAAATATGTTGTAATATCCACAAAGTCAGAGCTTTTCTTGTTAATACACACAAACACCAGTGTTCGGATTTGCCAAACGCTTGTGTGACTTTTACAGTTGCTAACCAATGAGCTGTCGTACTGCCAGAGTTGTCGTGCTGATGTACAGTATAATCCCTCCTGAAGCCCATTTGTCAGCAATCCACTCATATGTCTTTGCTAGTTTCTTTCATCAGGTGTTCAAATGGACTTTTTGGTTGTAAATACACAGGACTGTACAAATTGTAGAAGTTTGACTTTTCCTAATGATGTTCTGTGCACTGGTGAAATTGTTATATCAGCTCATGGTATAGCCTACAATAAGGACACACCTGAGCATAAGTTTATTTAAAATACATAAGTTCATAGTGTTCATTTGTTAGGTGGACATAACAAAATAAAGCCTTGGTTCACAATGCAAAATACAATGAGCAACTTCATTTTTACAGACTGTTAAAAATGGTTAGCACTGCTGCCTCACAGCAAGAAGGTTCTGGGTTCAATCCCCGGTTGGACCTGTAGTCTTTCTGGGTGGAGTTTGCATGTTCTTCTCGTGCTTGCGAGGGTTTTCTCCGGGTACTCCGGTTTCTTCCCACAGATCAAGAACTTGCATGTTAGGTTGCCTTCAAGCCCAGGCCTCCCTTGCAAAAGAGATCTGTGATCTCAATAGGATTTGCCTTTATTTAATAATTAAATCTGCTGTACAATAAAACTTCATCTGCAAAAAACACACTGTCCACATTCACTGTTGTAGAACATCCACTTGAGTTTTCCTTATCTTCAACTCCAGGAGGGCAAATTTTAATTTTAAGTCCAGCCAAGCCAGGCTTTGATTCGAGAACTTTCCAAGCTTAGAAATGTGTCCAAATAAAGTAAGTGTCAGGATGTCTGGTCTAAATTTTATGTCCTCTGTCCACATCTTCTTTGGTAGGTATCAAGTATCCTGGTTGAAACCAACAGTCTTTACTTTATGATGTTATTTTGTTGGTTTATTCTCAATCCCACAAGTGGTAGCAGTCATGTTGAATGTCTTTTCAGCCAAGACCCAACAGTAGTGAGGTATGGAGTGTGCATACAAACAGTCATGTAACCTCTATAATTAGCACTAGTTGATTTGTGAATCTGACACAGAGAAAGCAAACAGTGGGTGCAAATGATGTGAAAAACTGGAGTAAAAACAGGTGCTGTGCATTTTTTTGTGAATCAGGGCCTATGATTTATTTGTTTACTATTTTTTTTTAAGATTGTAGCTTTAAGTTGTGTATGCAAGCTTAACCCTCCTGCTGTCCTTGGGTCAAAATCTGTTTTAAAACAGGGGCCTCAGGGGTCATTTTGAGGAAAGTTAAAAAATGTCAGTGCTCTGGCTGCACAAGATTAGCGAAATTCATTCTATAGTTCTGTTTGATTACATAAACTGAGATGCCATGTTTAGAGAATTGGAGAAAAAAAAAACGAGTCGAGTGCAACAACCTCATTGTGTGAAAAAAAAAAAAAAAAAAATCTGATGAACAGGCTGCTGTGTACCAAGAAAGGTATTCTTCCCGCATAGCAACGCAGAAACTGAACTAGACAACACTGCACTTTTTGATACTGTTGAGCCAGCCTTCTTCTTTTTTAGTATTCAGCCAAATGAAGAGCATAAACAATGCGCCCCGTTGGACCCTGTCATCATTCAAAGACGTTCAACACATGGGTGCGCTTCTGCACGTGTGGTCATCACATCCACTCGCCTTGTCTCGCTTCTGTCCGCACAGCTCTCAGTGGCCATTTCTAACTCTCCTCCTTTTGATCTTTCACCTTTTTTCCCCTCTTGGGAATCTTCTTGTTGCACAGCAGCATCTTGATCAGGATTTACTTTTATTTTTGTCTCTATCACCTCTGAAGCTCTGCAGCTTTACAGTTTCCTCTCTCCTTTCACTTTCCTCCAATCAGACTCTCATCCCTGCTACCATATCTCTGATCCAGCTGACGTGAGCGCATGTATAATGCATGGGGCGAGTAAAAAACTGGGAGACCTGCCTGGGCCAATAACACCCAACGTAAACAAGACGGCAGGGGAGACATTCCTTCCAGTTCTGGAAGACTTTACCCGAGAATCTGTGGAACTGTGTTGGACATCTGCAGCTGTGCCGTCATGAATAAAGAATGATGTATTGATACAATTGACATTAACGTAAGAATTCAAGATATTTTCTTGAAATTCCATGAATTATTCATGCATTATGTGCACTCTTGTTATCAGATGTGTTAATTGAAACCACACAGTGTGAAAGCTCATCATATGGGACTATCCGTACGGAAAGCAGGAAGATGAGGCCATCAAATGAGCACACATGGCAGCCGAAATTCTCCAATGACTACAGCTATCTTTGGACGTGTGTGGAATGTGGGTCAGCCGCAATAAATGTTTAGACGGAGCAAGTTCAGAGCTGATGGTCAGTGAAATGGACCGCTCAGCTTGTTTTTAAAAAACACCTGCTTGTTTCTCATCATAAAGCCGACTTGGGTTATAATTACCATTTTTTTCCTGTACATTTTATTTTAGTTCCTCCAACGTTGCAAAGAAAATACATTTATTTCATATGTTCTGCTCAGAAAACCAAGCCAGGATCAAGGCAGAGCTCCTTCCAGTCAGCAAATCAAAACAGTAAAAGGTTTAATAAATGTAAAACGCAGAGACCTGCCGTACCTTATCGTTGATGAGCAGCTCGATAGGGTTGTTCCCCCACTCGATGAGAACGATCTCGTTGGCCTGGCCCGGCACGCCATAAGAGAATGGGGTACCGATGCCTGGACTGGCGCTGGACTTGAGCCACATGCAGACGGTGAAGGCGTACATCTCCGGGAGGCTCTTCTTGATGCGCCCGTACAGATAATTGGTACGAAGAGGGAGGGACACCTTGAAGTCCTCAGGTGACTTGAAGGCATTATTACCTGTTGATGGGTAAATAATGTAAAGGGTTATTATTCAATCCTGTCTTGTTTTATACCTGCTTATGATACAAAATATTGCTGGGGCAGAAGAATAGTGATAAGAGTCAGGGATACACATATTTAAATTACCATTTATCATCACTAACTTTTATTAATTTATCCCCAAATTAAGATTCTCTTAAAAATACAGCAAAGGCACAGTTTTCAGATACTTCCCCTGAACTTGCTGATTATAACTTAATTCATTAAACAGCTTTTTGAAAGCAGTTCACCATGTTTTTTTTTTTTAGAAGTTACTCATTTGAGCCCATGTTTTGAAACTTTAATTTTAAGGCTGGGTTTTGTAGGGGGGTGGGGAGTAGGAAAAGCAATTCATCATCTTTGCACAGCTGAATGGAGGGCATAATAAGGAGAAAAAGAAGCAAATGTGCTATTAACACAGCATGGCCCTGTGAGAAAGTGCCATGTTGTATTTGTGTTGCGGTGGCAGAAACAAACCTTCTTTTTTCAGGTAGCCGAGTAATTCAGCTCATGTCCACACACAGTATATAGAGAGTTTTACAATTGATTAAATTTGTAGTTTGAAGTGATTTTTATAGTAAAAAATTGATATTTTGTTCTCTCGTCTTCACTCTAACCTCTGCTGAAGGGTCTATCACTGCATGAGATGAGCAGCCGAATGTACGTGAATTATCATATTTTTACTATCATTTTAGGGTCTATTTATTATATATAAAAAAAAACTTATTTTAAAAAGCCCAAATACTCGTTACGTCGCAGTTCGACTTTTGCGTACTCGCTATATGGCAAATTGTCAACCCACATTAACGTATTAAAAAAATAAATAAACAAATTGTACAGGACAAAATGATTGTCAACTTTAAAATTACTCATGTGATTGGGACAGTACTGGATACAGTACTGTACAGTAAAAAGTTAACGAAAGTTAAAATACTTTGGACAGGCGCCGCCATTTGAACCACAAATTTGAAAGAAACTCTGAGGAAGTAATTATTAGTTGTACAACTACAACTGATTAACATTTGGAGTCAACTACTCGAGATGGCTGCACAGCTAATCAACTTTAGAAAAAGCAAAAATGTTCATAAATCAATACATTTGTAAAATGTTGACTTAGAATATGATGTGGTAGTAGTTGATACTCATTTCAAATATATACACTAAGAGGTAACAGATTGTGGGTAAAGTGTTTTTCAAACTTTGCCTTTAAGTATTTGAATCAACTCAATCTTTCTGTTAGCCAAATATCTCATGAAACAATGGACATATTTTAATTAAACTTTCAGAGAGTAACCACTGGATGTATTTCTACAACAGTTAACTTTTAGAGTCAACCCAGTTCAAGATGGCCACCACAGGTAATTGAATTTGACCAACACAAAAATGTCTATAACTTAATTAATAAGCTAAAATTTTGCATGGTAGTAGCTGATAATCAATCCCAACGCATACTCTGAGCACTAAAGGACCTCTCTATAGTGCATGCCATGCCACATTATAAATATCTACAACTATAGATACTTATAATGCAGTGATAAAATATAATATATCCTAAAAAAAATAGGTTTACAAATGCATATTGTGCTTACAAGGTAGTAACTTAGTCTGAAATGTTTAATATAACAACTCTAGATGAAATATGTAGGTGAACAGATGTGGCACGCTATTTGGCAAGAAAATTGTCAGTTTTGTCTCTTTCTCACCCTTAATTAATGCATAATAAGCAGTTATTAATTATTTATAAAGTGTTTGTAGAGGAATCAATAACGTATCTATAAACTATTATCCATCTATAAGGGAAGCCTTATTGTAAAGTGGCACCATTTTTTAAAAAGAAACTGTCAAGTATATCTATTAATGCACTACTACGCATGTGCTTTAAACTTGTTGCTTGTGAACAGGTTGAGTTTAGATTTGTGAAAATTTACAAATTTGCACTGTTCGAGTGTTGTCATTGTGTTAGAGAGAGTAAATGTCATGAATAAATTGGACATTAAACATAATCCAAGTTGAAGTGTTACATCATTTTCAGCCCTCTTTTTGGCATCTGTATATCACATCAATATCGGTATCGGTTATCGGCCAAATAAGTTTTAACATATCGGCATATCAGATATCAGCCAAAAATCCAATATAGTGCATCCCTAGTGCATGGGTTTGTGCATGCTCTTTATGGTTTGCATTCTTTTAAGGTTTGAATTATGCAATTTATGATAGCATTTATCACACACCACATGAACCTAACAGAAACAGCAATATAAAGTAAATGTATGTGTACTTATATAAACTCAGCTTTTAAAAGTACTGCTCCCCTAGAAGCTCAAGCTCCATCTGACAGAAAACAATCTGTCTCTGCTGATTTCACTGTAACCTCAACAAAGGCAGGAAATTGAGTTACAAACTCATTGCAGCTCCTGTTAAAAACAATCCTCACATTTCCAGCAGACAAAATAATTGTGCCTCAAAACTCATTGTAGAAACTCTCAGGCACTGATTTGAAATAAATTGAACTGAATAAGCTTTTCGAACAGGCTATTTATTTTGTGATTTATTTTTGCAGTAAAGTATGATGATGTAGATTTAGTTGCTGGTCCGTTCAGCTGTTTTAAATCAGAGCGATAAGCTTTAGTCACCAAAACTAACCTTAAATCTTCGAACACAGGAATTATCCACTGAGGGGAGAAATAGGATCTATTTTTTCCTCTTCTGGCAGGGATTTTATGTCTTATTTTGACGACTGCCATCAAAGACACAACTCAGCGTGTGGACATATCTTGAATATTTCTTGAACTTATGAAACATTCAGTGTTGCTGTCTGAGTATTAGTTTTAAGGCCAGGAGTTTCTCTAAGAGCGGCTCTGAAAAAAAAAACCCTGCACATTGAGAATTTTTTCACTTATTTTACTTATCCAGCATTTATACTATTGATTTCCTGTTGTTTTCCCCCCAAACTACTGCATACTTTCTGCTGTTTTAGCCATACATATATCAAAATGTTTGGCTCATTTGGATAATGATACTTTGACTTTTGGTTTATATTTCTGTCAAAGTTCTCAAAACATTTAATAATGTGTGCAAAATGTACTCCATTGAAATACATTTGGATCTATTCCTTCAAAAACATTCTATTTTAAATCTACTTCAGCTACTATTAGCATTAAGCTATAATTTGGTTACTTTGAGCTTTCAGTCAGCTTTTTTCTACTTTGAGCATCTAACTAGCATTTTGATACTTTTAGCAATACCACTTCACAATGAGGCTCCCTTTATAGATGGCTATTAAATAGTTTATAGATACATTATTATTTCCTCTATTAACACTTTATAAATCATTAATACTTGTTTATTATGCATTAATTAAGGGTGACAGAGAGACAAAACTGACCAGTTTCTTGCCAAATAGTGAGTCAAATTTGTTCACCTTCAGCCCAAGTTACTTTGTAAGTGCATTAAGCATTTGTAAACCTAATATTTTTAGGATATACTATTAGTTGTAGATACTTATAATGCAGTGATAAAGTACAATATTATATGCTAAATAAATATAATGCTTATTGTGCTTAGTCTGAAATGTTCAATATAACAAGTCTAGATGAAATATATGGGTGAGCAGATTTGGCAACAAACTGCTCAGTTTTGTTTCTCTGACACCCTTAATTAATGCACAATAAGCAGTTATTAATTATTTTTAAAGTGTTTATAGAAAAATTAATAACGTATCTATAAACTATTTATTAGCCATCTATAAGGGGAGCCTTATTGTAAAGTGGTACCCTTTTAGCTTTTAACAGGCATTTAGCTACTTATAGCATGTTTTAGCCTTTTGTTACATTTAGCTTTTAGTTAGCATTTTGCTGCATTTACCTTCTAGTAACCTTTGAATTCTTTTAGCAAGCCATTTGTAACTTTAAATTTTAACAAGCATTTAGTTCATTTTAGCTTTTATTTAGTCTTAACGTTTAGTTAGCATTTTTTAACTTTTAATTAGCATTTTTTTAATTTAGTAGCTAGATAACCTTTAGATACTTTTAGTCATGCTTTTGCTGCTTTTAGCATTTAGTTAGCCTTGTGGTGCTTTAGCTTTAAACTAGCCTTTTGCTGCTGTTGGCTAGCATTTTGCTACATTTAGTTTCAACTAAAGTTGAGCTTTTTTAGCTTAAGCAACTTAGTTTTAGCTTTTTCAGCAAACATCAACAAACTCCTTCAGCTCTCAGAATTCACCCAGAAAATGTTTTACTTCTGATTCACACTAAATCAGGCAGAGGTCTAACAAAACATTTGTTGTTAAACTTGGAGCAGTGTTCCTCAGCACCCAGACTCGTCAGGATCTTACTTTTCTCCAGCTCCGTGATCCTCTCCATGAGGGAATTGAGAGCGGTCTCGGTGCGTTGGCGGTGGGCCGCCGTCTCGTTGTAGAGCTGGCTCTTCTCCTCCTCCAGCTCAGCCACCTTCCGGAGGAGCTGCGTTTCAAGCGCCCCCAGACGCTGCCGCAGCAGCTCGCGGAGCTCCGGTGGCAGAGGAGTCAGGGCCGACACTCCTCCAGCTGACACGTTTGTGCTGCCGGGGAGACGCAGACTCTGCTGCTGAGAGGCAGAGGACAGGCGGATCAGAGACTCATGGATGTGTTGGAGGCAGACAAACATGAGATGAAAATCAAACCCAGTCTGTCTCTGGATCGTCGACCCGCTAGCCCTGATATCAGTTTAGCTGAATAGTTTGGGATACAGGCAGCAGCTAAATGAAGACAGACGTCTGTGGCAGACTTTGATTGGCGACCTGCCATGCACCGTGTCTGTGCCGGGTATTAAAAGTAGACGTCACCCGGCGCTGACACCAGGCAGGATGACAGAAGGCCTTTAGAAACAGAGCCCACGCTGGTGACTGCTACACTGATGCGAGGAGTTGTCCTACAGCTCAACTGTTGCCCTGGTAACTTTGGTGAGACACACTGGGACAAATCCAAACTTTATTTGTTTTTATCACTTACTACTGAAAGGTAGAAAGCAGGTAATAATGTTTTTGTCCGTGTCGGTGGATCCAGTGATGTAGTCTATGTGATACTCGGGTGTACGGAGTATACGCACTAGAAAAGTGTGGGTATTTCAGTATACCCACTTAAAAGTTCCCAACGGTGAACCCATGTCATGTATCATTGGCAAGGATACATGGCATGGACTCATGTCATTGTCAACACATTGGGAACATTTTATAGACACATTGAGTTGGTTCAACCTGATTTTTATATATTTAATACTACTTACTACTTAATACTTGAACATGTTTTGCTTTGATATTGTTTTATAAATTCTTTAACATGTTTTAAATTCAAAGCCAACTGTTGTATAAAGTTTGTTGTATATTTATTCAAATAAAAGCATCAGAGAAATTTTGAAATGTTCAATATGCTTAAAAATCTAAATAAATTCACATTGTACTAAACAGTGTACTTTGGTTTCTAATCCCAGTATACCCACTACAAAAATGTAGACTACACCACTGTGTGGATCCATGCACCTAAGTACCACTAGAACTCGGCAGCTCCAGCTGAATGACTTTTTGCGGTCAACCAAATTCAAGATGGCCGCCAACGTACCTTAAATCTTACAGATCAAAATGGATCTGTAGCACGTCTGATGGGGATATTGCAATATTTCCTATCTAAAGCGGTGGTTCACAACAAGTGTTGGCATTAAATGTCGGAGTCTGAAATTATTTTTAGACAACAGCGCCGCCTTTTGTCACAGTTTTACTGAGGCTAGCTGTTAGCTCACTAACCCAGTCCAAAAAAAAAAAAAACCTGTTCCTTCAAAAATTGAGCTTATCTACAACAGGTAAGA